TATCTTGCAATGCGTAACCAAAGTTGAAATATATTGACTTTATATGTAATATAAGTTTAAAACCAGTAACATAGATCATTGAAGATATGCGTTTTTTTTCTTGCAAACTGATTCTCTCATTATGTTGTTTTTTATTCTTTTCACTATCTCTACAATCACAAATAAGAGATACGGAATTTATTCCTATACCAAAAAGAAAAAAGCAAGTTAACACTACTACTAGCAAATCCAGAGAAATCATTGAGATACAAGAAAAGGTTATAATTGATGGGGATGACCCTCTACCAAAAAGAAAGAGAAACCTTAAGTTTATAGAGAAACCTGAGCTCAAAAACGAAGTAAAAACTATTGATCATCAAAACAATGCATCAATTATAGCAAAAGTTACTGATTCTATCAGGAATAAACTCACAGAATGCTGGAACGTACCTGCTAATATGGCTTATCAAAAAAGTTTCAGTATCAAAATCAACTTATTACTATCACCCCAAGGCGAAGTAGTAATAGCAGATGTAGTAGATGAAAATTCTTATCAGGGCAATACACTTTTCAGGTCATTAGCAGATAGTGCAATACGAGCGATACATAGATGTAGCCCATTTAGTCATTTACCTAGTGAACACTATCACATTTGGCGTGAAATAACATTAGATTTTATTTTAAATGGATAATAAACTTTCCTTATGAATTAGTTTTGATCAGAATGTTCGCAAGAGTAATAACTTTTTTCTTACTATACTCAAGCACAGTTTTTTGCGGTGGCTGCAACTTTAACATTAGACCTCTTTCGAAACCGATTTATGGTGAGAAATTTTTAGGAGAAGTACAAGCGAGCACCGCAGAATACTTGAATGTATTTGAGGAGCGTAGCTCAGCTTCAACAACAAAATTGCCATCAGAAATTAAGTTTCAAAAGAGGTCTATTCCATATTATGGGCTTGATTGTCATATGAACCTGTCACATAGGAATTTAAGCAATGTAAAAAAACTGTTAAACAAAGAAGATAAATTTGTTGCAATTACATTTGATGATGGCCCATCTTACAAGACAGTAAACACTATTATTGATATATTAAAAACACACGAGTCAAAGGCAACGTTTTTCTTATTAGGTGAGCGCATAAATAAAAAAACATATGAGACAGTAAGGAAAATTCATGAAACAGGTCATGAAATAGGTAATCATTCCTGGTCACATAAAAAGTTAACGTCATTATCGGATAATGAACAATTTCAAGAATTAGAGAGAACGAATACAGCAATTAAAAATATAATACAAAGAGATATAAAATGGTTCCGTCCACCATATGGATGCCATGATGAAAATGTACTTAAAAACGTTAATCTATTCAACATGTATTCAATATTATGGACAGTAGATTCTCTAGATTGGAAAAACGATAAGCCTGAAATTTTGATTGAAAGAGTTATAAGTGCAGTGCACAATGGTGCTATCATATTATTTCATGATCATGACAGTAGATCAAACACAGTAGAAGCTTTACCTCGCATTATTACAATACTAAAAAAATCGGGCTATAAGCTTGTCACTTTAAGTGAATGGGAAAAAAAGGTCTGTAGTGCGTTAGGGTACAAAAAAAATGAATAGACCTCTTACGCAACCGATTTATGATGAGAAACTTTATGCGCACAAAGAGTAAGGTCTTTACCCGTAGAGCATTTATACTTGGTGGCATCCAGTTAGCTATTTCTGTCATTTTTAGCTATAGGTTATATACTTTACAGATAAGAGATAGACAAAAATATGAAATACTATCCAATAGTAATAGAACAAGAGTTGCTACTATTATGCCCCAGCGGGGGAAAATTTTAGATAGAAATGGTATCGAGCTTGCAGTAAATAAAATCTCGTATGTTATTGTATTCGATGGAGAAAAAACTCTGCATAAAGAAGCAAGTGAGGAAGAGGTTGCAGCAGGAGATAATGTAGTTGCATTTTATAAGCGTCATTACCCATTTGGCTCAATATGTTCACATGTATTAGGATATACAAAAAAACAACAAACAGGAGTTAGTGGAATTGAATATATACACGACGATGTATTAAAAGGTACACCTGGAAAAATCGAGCAGGAAGTAAACTCTAAAAAACGTATCATAAGAGAGCTATCAAATACACCACCTCAAGATGGAAATGATGTACAATTAACAATTGATATAAATCTGCAGAAAAAAATTGCAGAGATATTTCATAATCATAAAGGTTCAGTGACAGTTGTTGATGTCAGAAATGGGGAAATTTTAGCATTATATAATTCACCTGCCTATGACAATAATCTTTTTACTGGTACATTACCAAATGATACTTGGAAGAGCTTGAATTCTCCTTCATTACCATTAGTAAATCGTGCATTATCATATCAAACTCCTCTTGGGTCAGTTTTTAAGATAATAGTTGCGCTTGCAGCTCTGAAAGATGGCATAATCACACCACAGGAAAAATTCTTATGTAAGGGTCATATGCAAATAGGTAATCGAAAATTTCGCTGTTGGAAAAGTGCTGGCCATGGATACGTATCTTTAAATGAAGCAATAGCTTCTTCATGCAACATTTACTTTTATCACATAGGTAAAAAAATAAACGTAGATTCTGTAGTAGAAATGGCTAGTAAATTTGGTATTGGTAGTGGACCACTAATAAAAAATTTCAAAGAAGAGGCCTCAGGATTATTACCTAATAAAAGCTGGCGTGAGCAAAGGCTATATTCACAATGGCAGTTGGGTGATACCATTAATTTGGCCATAGGTCAGGGTTATATACTTGCAACACCACTACAACTTGCAGTACTTGCAGCAAGATTTGCAACAGGCAAGGAAGTAATGCCTTATATTGAGATAAATAAAACAAAGCAGGATTTTACTGAAATTGATATAAACCATACACACCTTACTATCGTTCAAAACGCTATGTTTGATGCAGTTAACTCTAGAATTGGTACTGCATATACTACCAATTTACCCAAAGACATACGAATTGCTGGCAAAACTGGCACACCGGAAATAAACTCCCAGGGAAAAAGCCACAAGTTATTTATTGCTTATGGTTCTTCACATTATGCAATATCTGTATTTATAGAATATGGCAAAGCCCCACGTCAGGACTTTCTTATAGCTTATAAGATACTTAACTACATGGCACAATCGGGCTACTAGGCCCTGCAAACCATTAGACCTCTTTCAAAATTTAATTTCTGATGGCAATTTTGTTGTCGAAGCCGAGCTACGCTCCTCATACATCCTGCGTGCTCGCTTGTACTTCTCCTCTTACCATAAATCGAGTTTCAAAAGAAGTCTATTAACTTGATACGTATGGTTTATTTAACCCTCCCTTTTTTCTTTTTCTCAAGTATATCTTTTAAATTTGCTGCTTTTTCAAATTCTAGATTCTTTGCATGTCTTAGCATTTCTTTTTTGAGCTGTTTTATATCCATGTTTTTATAGTCTTCATCTGCCATGTTTTCCTCTGTTTCTGTTCTTTCCTGTAAGGAATTGGTTATAGCTTTAATAACAGTTTTTGGAATAATGTCATGTTTTTTATTATATTCTTCCTGTTTCTTTCTCCTTCGGTTCGTTTCATTTAACGCTCGCTCTAGTGACCCTGTCATTTTATCTGCATATAGAATAACTTTTCCTTCTTTGTTTCTTGCAGCACGACCGATTGTCTGAATTAACGAAGTTTCTGAACGCAAGAATCCTTCCTTGTCAGCATCTAAAATGGCCACTAATCCGCATTCTGGAATATCAAGCCCTTCCCGCAATAGGTTTACTCCTACTAATACATTAATTTTTCCAGAACGTAGATCATATAAAGTATCAATCCTATCGAGTGTTTTAACATTTGCATGAAGGTAATGTGCTTTAATATCAACCTCACACATGTAATCAGCTAAATTTTCTGCCATTTTTTTAGTCAATGTAGTTATTAACACACAGAACCCTTTTTTGATTACTTTTTGTGCTTCAACAATTACATCATCTACTTGATATTCAGTAGGTTTTACAATACATGGTGGATCCAACAGCCCAGTTGGACGAATAACTTGTTCTACAAAAATTCCTCCTGTCTTTTCTAGCTCATATTTACCTGGTGTTGCTGAAATATAAACTGTTTGCGGTCGCATTTTTTCCCATTCTTCAAAACGCAGGGGTCTATTATCAAGCGCTGATGGCATCCTAAACCCATACAAAATAAGATTTGATTTTCTTGACCTATCTCCACTATACATTGCTCCTATTTGTGGAATACTCACGTGACTTTCATCAACAAATAGTATTGCGTCTTTTGGCAAATATTCAAACAATGTGGGTGGTGGATCTCCGGATTGCCTACCTGATAAATAACGCGAATAATTTTCAATTCCCTTACAACTTCCTGTTTCTCTTATCATTTCTAGGTCGAAGTTTGTTCTCTGTTCCAATTGTTTTGCTTCAACTATTTTATGGTTGGAATACAAGTATTTTAGTTGTTCTTCTAATTCTTCTTTAATCAACTCTATAGCTTGTAACAATGTTGGACGAGGTGTGACATAGTGACTATTGGCAAAGATTACTATTTTTTCTAGTTTTCTAGTAAGGTTTCCTGTTAGTGGATCTATTTCCAAAATTTCTTCAACATCATTTCCAAATAACGCAACTCTCCAAGCTCTGTTTTCGTAATGAGATGGAAATATGTCTATAGTATCACCACGAACACGGAAACTTCCTCGTGTGAGTTCATTATGTGACCTCTTATACTGTAACTCTACTAGATTGTTTAAAAAATCCTGACTTTTAATTTGTTTTCCTACCTCTACACTAATAGTCATATTCATATAACTTTCAGGTGCT